AATCAAGTTTCATATAACAATAATAATAAATTGGGACAAAATTAAATAATGTAAAGTTCAATTCTTTTCTGAAAAACAAAAAATAAATTAGCAAAAGTAACTGTACAATTGAATTCATTGAAAAATTAAAAAAAAAAAAAGATATGATGATTACTTGACCAGTGAAAAGTTTAGAAAGACTAAAAAAGCCAAAAATCTTTACCGAAAAAAAAATTTTCTTTTAAATTTTAAAAATTCGAAAATCTAAGGAAAAATTTCTTGATAAAATATAAAAAAAGCTGAAGTTTAAAAAATTGAGAATATTCATTAACATCGTTAGAATTGTAATTTGATGATTAGATTAAATTATAAAAAAGATGAAAAAAAAAGAATTAGAATTGTTTTCATTGTTAAAAGTTTTAAATGAAAACTTGCAAAAGTCAAATATCTTTTGTTTTTCACATTTAGCAACTTTATCCAAAGCCAACAATATGTTATAAAATGGATGCTCTGAAAGTAATGCTTCTTATTTATTTTCATAGAAACTACAGCAGATACAAAGAGTAAAATGATATCATGTTATTAGCTACAAAACACTATATTTCTGTATAATCAACATTGATGCTGCATTTTCACTGGCAGTGAACAAGAGCCTGCATGTTATCCTTGTAAAAATCTGTACCAGTGGAAGTGATTCATTTTAGCCACCACCTAACAATATCTATTGTTTAATCTCTGAAAACGATCAACAAGCATTGATGAATGTAAATAAGTACAACTCTTTTTCATTGCATGGAGAAATTCAATGAGGAACTTCTGCTTTGTATTTATTTTCATGTCAAACACTATTTTGCCAGATTGCTTCTTAGCTGATATCTTTAAAAGGCAAAGAAAAAAAAGAAAAAAGATGGGTTATATGTGGAAAGGTTCAACCTTTGTTACCATACCACCAATATTTGATATTGTATGCTAACAAAACAGGAAGCATTACTTTTGGAGTGATCTTTGTGTTGTCAAATTTTATATTTAATTTAAATAATTATACTTATAATATCCCTATTTTGTCAGTAATGCTTGTATTAATTTCTGACCATTGACAATTCATTTTTTCCTGATTTTCAATGCACAACATACAGATTGCTGAAACTTGATAAGACAAATTTTAGGTAAAAAATAGTAAAATTCAATGTTTAATCATCAATTCTTATTCATTAACAACAAGAAATATTTAGTTTTTGTTCAGGCAGAAAAAATCAATAAAACTAAGCAAGAGAATGGCACTAGTAAAGGGAATGATAAGTAAAAACTTTGCTTACATATAGTAGGTTCATACTAGATGAGTAAGGTAGCTATGGGAGGGAGATTTGCCCTAAATGCTCTATTCTCTTCTCTATCAATCATAATATCATGTCAGGAAGAAGACATTTTGTAGAGATATCTAGTGAGGATACAGTCAACAGGGAGAAGTGAATTCATGCCTTTCCAAAGTGTATTAATGAACAAAAACAATTTTAGAACTTGAACTTGGTTCACTCATCAATAGTTCAGTGTCATAAATATTTCATAAGTATTGCAAAAATGTCAGAAGTTTTAAGTATTGTGGAGAATAAGTGTGATGTAAGTGCAGAGTAAGTGTTGTGTAAGTGTAGAATAAATATGAAGACAGTTTAAAATAAGTGCAAAAAGAGAAAGGATTGTGTAATTGTAAGCAAAATGTGGAAAAATTTCAGTGCTATGTGAGCCTGTCATCTTACTTTGGATTGATGAAAGAGAAGAACAAGTGGACATCATTCTTGAATCTGATTTTATTGATGATGAGTTTGATATCATATCATCTTTGTCTGCAACAAAATTACATACAATATTATTACAAACTAGCATAGTATCCATAAAAATGATGGGATTATTTACATGTTTGCCTAGGATCCGAGTGTGTTTGTGTACTCTGCCTAAGATCACCTTGGATCAGTGTAGTATTTGTGCATTCTGCCTACGTTTGAGTTTCAAACAGATAGGCAGGGATGATTATTGCTTTTTGAAGAAAAATCCACCAGGGACATCTTTATTCCAACTACTCCTTTTATTAAATATTCAGGAAATTTCCTCCTAGCCCTTAATTTAGGCTGTTAACATTCTATGACAAAGCATTTCAATATTTAATAAAAGGGTTGGTTGGAATAAAACTGTCCTGGGTGGATTTTCTCCCAAAAAAGAATAATTGTGCTACGGAGGGCTGCTTCAGACAGTATAGGGCCATTCAGTGTTCAGGAGTCAGATGTTAATTATAATAGCAGAAGAATTGTTCTAAGTAGAGATACTCTTTGTGACAATCAGCCATAAGTGGGAAGGTGAACTTCTTGTGTCAGGCAGCTATGGATAACAAAGATATGATAAATGCAAGACTTTCAGATAAAAGACCAAAAAATTATTGTTGAAACAGAATAAGATTTATTCTTGTATATGGAACATTTTTCAATTCAATCTATTATAATAGAACCATGTTCAGTTCAATTTCAAGCAATGAAATATAAAAGGTTTATGAAAAGTTTTAAAAGTTCAATTGATAAAACCTTTTGGGAAAAGTGTTCACTGAAAAGAGAAAAGTGTTATTAATGAAAATTTCAAGTGATGCTGGAAGTAGGTAGAGAAGTACAGTTTGCATTTGAATGAGTGTTGGAATTTGAAGACAAACTAGATGTGACCTGTCTGGCAATTGGAGATCTTCCAGGATGAAAACTCCTGTTCATTTATAAGTGTACAGAGGCTTAAAGAAAGGAATTTTTGCTTTAGGTGAGAAATTTTTATTGACTGAAATGCTTAATTTATTTTATTTTTCAGCTGGAACCTATGTGTGAGCCCCTTGTGTATATAAAAAGTCAGATGGATAAATTGCTGTCTAAATTATGCAAAAATGAAAATAATACTGACATCTCATTTTAACAGATATATTTATCAAAATTACAAAAAAATATCTTGAAATACTAACGAGTAAATTTATTCAATAAAATTGCCATTGACTTCAACCAACGGCCTCCAGATGACTTCAGAACCTTCTGCAACACTTCTGGATAGTTTCCTTGTTTAAGTTGGTGAATGCTGCCATAATCCTTGCTTTCAGTTCATCTTTAGTGTTACAAGGAGGTTTGTTGGTCTCTACACAATAATCAACGGGATTTGCAGTCTGGGGAGTTAGATGGCCAGATGTAAGGAATTATGTGGTGGCAGAAATTGTCAAACAACCATGACTGGGTTCTCCTACTTGTGTGGCATGGTGCAGTGTCCTGTTACCAGACATAGGGTTTTCGAGCAACTGCCCTCTTGAATCAGGGCAGCACTATCTCCTCACAACATGATGTAGGCCACCATGTTGAGTCCGAGGCCCTCACCAACAAATTTGAGAGTTCTTTTTTTATCAGAAAAATCAGAGTGAGTTTTCCAAGCTGCTGTACTTTCGTAATCACCATTAGAATCACCCAACGTTTTCTGAATCCTCTGCACTCTCCTCAGATTGACACCCAAACACACTGAAATGTTCATATTGGTGTTTTCAGTGTAAATGCCCAGCAGTAGAGCATGCCATTTCCAAATTTCTGGCAGAGTGAACTGCATCACAGTGCTCTTTTTCTCACAGATGGTGCCAAACTGACTCTACTATACTCTACAGTTGAGAAAATCAAAAACAAACATGCATGTGCAAAATTAAAAATATAAAATAGTGACAATTTACCCACTGCACCCTGTATGTGTTTTTGTTTATTTGTGTTTTAGCCACAGAAGTGTTAAGTTTGCTTTTGTGTCCTGTTTGTTAGTCACAGCCCATCTGTTTATAATTTGAAAATTAATTTTACAGTATTTCTCAGGTAGCAGAACATTGGCATAATGGATATATCACTTGCATGCTTACCTCCAAGCTGGAGATTTAAAACAAAGTAGGAATGATGTATCTAGAGATTCTTAGCAAAATCCAAAGAAGAATCAGCAATATTATTGAGCCTGACCTGGTATTTTGGCATTAGTCACTTTCCCCAACACTGTAACATAGCTTCCTTGTGCCTTTTCTAGAAATATTTTCTTAATTGTTCTGATAAGCTTTCCTCTTTGGAACATCAAATTCATGAATTTAAGCACAGTACTAGATTGGCAGGTAGGTCTCATCATTTTACTGTTGAAATTGCTAAGTGTAAGAGTAAGTTCTATCCGAATAGTTTTTTCTTTCGCACGTCCCATCAATGGAACACTTTTCCCACTTCTTGCTTTCCTGTCAACTACAAAAATTTAAATGCAATATCAATCATCATAATCATCATCTCTCTTTTTGGATCCTGTTCTTTTTATGATCCTATCTCCTCAGTAAAATTTTCTTCAATTTCCTTCACTGTCAGTAAAACCCCATTGTGTTTTAGTGGTTTTATTACCTTCTTTTGGGTGAAATGATTAAAAAAATAATGTCTTTTTAATTAAAGCATGACCAAAGTTATGAACACAAAAACAAAGAAACATACAAAGAAAAGTCACACTTTTCATTATTTATATATGACCTCTTACTTTTTTTTTTATTATTGGACAGTCTTTTGAGATGTTTATTATAAAAGTGACTTTTCATCATACAGTACAGATTCAGGAATCTGGTCAAATAATAACTTATCCAGTTTTGCTTCAGGCTTTCAGATGAATTGTATACATTCAGTTCTGTTTTACTTTGTTGCTTATTTCCCAGAAATAAGAAAAAAATGCCTATTGTACAGTGGAGCAGAAGAAAGAAATCCCTTCAAGTGATTAGTAACTGATTTTGGTGATTTTTTTGTTTATTGAAAAAAAAATTGGGGTGAAATAATGTTTAAAAAAATCTATTGAAATATATGCAAATACTGAGTTTTGAACTTTCTTATTATAAGTTAACAATTCTTAAAATGTCTGCTTTTTGAATGACATGGTATTGAAATAACATTTGGTTTCATTGTCCTGTAATAACAATTAAACTGAAGTAATTAAGAAAACAAAAGCTTTTTCTTTGGACTCACCTGAGCAGGAAAGATTTTGTGGAAATGCTTTCTCTAACTTCTTAACCAATTTGTCCATTTCTTGTTCAGCTTCAGTGGCTGTATTGATGGACGTATACAGGGTAGACATGGCCAGTTTATGGGTTGAGTCAATGGTTGACTGATCAAAGTAATTGTGCACTTCTGGTGTGCTGGTCAACTGAGAGTTCAGCAAAGTTGGGTAAGGTGAGTCATCAATATAGTTCATAGAATTTCCCCAACCATTTTGATGGTTGTTACCATTCTGGAAAGGAAAACCATTTGGTAAGTGGAACCCATTGGTCAAATCATAACCATTCTGTGTTAGGTTGCTGTTTTGTTGGAGGAATCCATTTTGGGTCTTCATACCATTTGGCACTTGCAGACCATTCAATGGTTTAAAACCATTAGATGATTTGTAGCCATTTGTTGTATGCAAACCATTTGGAGCTTTAAATCCATTTTGAAGATGGTAACCATTTTGAAGATGGTAACCATTTGGAGTTAAGCCATTTTTGTAGGAGAATCCATTTTGGTTAAATCTGTTGGTCAAGGCAGAATTCTGGGTATTTTCTGGTAATGTTCCACTCTGCAAGGAAGAAAACAACAATGAAATAAATATTTTAAAAATATCTGAATATAAGCAAATTAAGTTAAAAATACATCTGCTTCTGTTATATTCATCAGTCCAATTTCACTGGGAATTTAATATTAATTTTCATTCTGTGCAATATGAATACTGCAGATTCTTGTACTAACCTGCTGCTGCTATTATTATAATGGCACTAGTAGTGACATCAGGTGCTAGTGTAAACATAAAAACCAGACACATAATTTCTATTTGACTACTATTACTATTATTATTTCTCTTACATTTTATTATGACTTTTAGCTTTTCATTCCTGATTTCCAATGAACATGGAATGACAATTTGAGAATTACAATAAAAAAAAACAACAAGAGAATTAAAATGGGAAAAAATTGACAGTTTAAGTGAAAAACTTGTGTTATTCAGATTGAAAGTGGATGTGAGAATTGAGAGAAAGTAAAATTGTTTCATTTTCTTAGAAATAAAAGAAGCAAAGAAAAAAAGATTTGCATAAAAAAACAATAAAAGCAAAAGAGAATCTGGAGTAGATAAAGAATGGATGACAATTAAAATTGTATGAAAATAAATTGCAAATTGTTTTATTCCAGAAATCAGAATTTAATATGCCTTTGCTGGTTTGAAACTAGAGTTGTAGATTAATGCTTACTTTTAAAAATTTCCCTAGAAGCAGAATTTATAGAAGTGACAATAATAAACTCATTTTTTAAAATATTCTAGCCAATAGAAATTTTATTTTACTTGTATGAGAGAGTAGTGAAGAGTTCTTAGCCAGACCAACTTCCCAAAATCTGATCAAATGACAAACATCAAAAATATATAAGATTCTTTTCAGAATCCCTTTGGCCTTTTAATGTTAATATTTTTTTATTATTTAATGTGCATAGATAATTTTCTAATTAGGATGAGATAATCATGAGATTAGAAATGTTCAGATGAACATGTTGGTGTCAGGTTTAGATTATTAAGTGAGGGTTTCCTATGTCCCAATTATGTTAGATTCTTGTTAATTGACATCTAGTGGAGACAAGAAAAAGTGACTTACTTTCAACATATCATGAACTCTGCTCAGTTGTTTGTTGAGACGAAGGTTATGGTCATCAACAACTTCTTTCTTGGCTTCTACTAATTCTTTTTCCATTTCAATTTCTTCACCATATGAAAGGCTACTACAACTGTCTGTACCACCATCACGGATTTCTGCCAACTGACGGTACAAGTTTCTGAAAAAAAAAAAAAAAATCCTTCAGAAATGCAGACACTTAGAAAATACTACTTTTAATTTTGTCAAAAATTGTAAAAAAATATTTCAAATGTGAATAAAGATAAAGAAATATGCTAGTGTTAATTTTGTCAAGAATTATAAATAAATTAATTGAAATATGAAGCATGATAAAAAAAAGCAGATAATCTACTTGCATAAAACTGGTATGGTATATAGAGATGAAGTAAAGGCCAAATTTATTGTCTATAGTACCATTTATTATTGTCTCCATTTGGTTCCAATGTTTAAAAATAGTTGACTATCATCATAGTTCTTTTGTTGTGATTTGAGAGTTCATACAGGGTTTTGTATTCCTTCTGGTTGAGGGAAATTAATTTGTTGTATTCATCCTTTCTTCTTTCTCTTCTGGAGTTGTACGTCAAACTCACAGCTGATGAATCACCAACCCTTGTGTCTCAAACTGCTACCTCGAATCAAGTTCCTCTCTCCATGGTGCCTCTAGTCTTGTATGTGGTTTTCTTCTTTTTAATGGGGCTGACACATCTGTGTTTCCTGTTTGATTTTTTGTAGGACATGTTGTCATTGGTTGATTTTTTTTATGATGTTCACTGACCCACATAAACTAAGTCCGGGTTCATGTCTATTACTGAGTATAGGAACAATAGAAGGAAGGAAAGGAAAGGAAATATATAGAAGAGAGAAAAAGTTTTCTTTGTCACTCACTTAGTAAAGAGGAAAGTGTATATTTTCATATGGTGTTATTACACCCTAATCTTACTACACTGTTAATATGTCTTCAAAAAGTGTTGTGTGAATTAAATTTGAAAACAGAGGAAATGCTGGTATTAATCCTGATCTTAAAATTTCAATTGATTTTTAAAATAATCTTTTTATAATCTACAATAAGAAACAGTAATTAAAAAAATTTCAAGATAATAATTTTATTGAAGAGAAAGGAGCATTTTATTTCTTACTAAAATTTGTTACTGTGGATAATTTGTAAAGATTTTCCTTCCTCCATTTTGTATCCAGCATGCAGCTGCTTTCATCTTTTAACAAATTTGGTTGCTAGATTCCATGTCAGGGTCAGCTTTAACACATTGCTGTTTCAAATGTTTGAAAAATGTTGCTAAACTCCTTTTAAGTAATTTCTTTCAATTGAATGTGGAGAGAGTGTTTATCTGGTGCATCAGTGGCTAAAAAGCTTTACATCTTTCTAAATTGGCGAAATCATTTTCACTGAGTGCTCTTAATTTATTTAATTCACTCACATTTTCTTCATCCACTTCCTTAAAACTAATGTCTGTTCTAATTAATGTGATTTCCCAAAGACGTTCTTTCTTTTATTTACAGAAACCAAAAAAATTCACGATATAATTTACTATATTTCCAGATAGTTCTTGTATTATTTTCAGTGACTTCAAGTCATGGATTAGGAAATTTCAATTGCATTCCATTCATAATTTCACCAAAATTCTATAAGAGAAATTGGGCTCTCTCTAGTTGATACTTCACTGCTGCTGGTTTTAATGTTTTCCAAAAGTTAGTGAACTTTAAATGTAATGATTATATTTTGATCAATAGGTTGTAATATTTGAAAAAAAAAAAAAATCTTGCTGTGGTTGATCTGTCACAGTAGTTAAAAGTATCCTCTCTTTCTTTCTCTCACATGCATACAAAAACACAGACATAAAGAAGATGTCATATGGCAAAAGAAAAGTTTTGGAAGAGTACAATAGAAAATTTATCCCAAATTAGTTAAGTGATTTAGATTATAATTACCACACTAACTGTATCTTTTTAAAAGAGAAATTTGGACAAAAAAATTGTCAGTGTGTTAGTGGCTATACAGTGGAGTAATGGTTAGCAGTTCAGATTGAGGAATTGGAGAGCCAAGTTTGAATTCCAGTCAAATCCATTACATTCACTTATGTGCTAATACTCTTCAGAAAGGTATGAATCTTCTTCTCCCCTTAGCTATGGATAAATAGCAGGATGGATCGGGTTGCCTTGGCAGGCATCTGGTGCATCACAGAAAGAAATGGCAACCTACTGCGGGAAAAAATCTGTCTCGTCAGTCATGTATTGAAAGATACATGATCACCTAAGTGTATATCATGCATGACACATAACTGACTGACATGTTGTGTCCCTCCAAATCCAATGGGTTATGAGATTTTTGATCAAGTGCATTAATCGATAATGTATTGTAGGAATTGGTGTTTTGTGTATATTTTTTATTTTCACAGTGTGCACAGAAATTACATTTTGATCAGAATCATCATTGTTTTATTGGTACTAAATTAGTTTTTGAATATTAATGGGATATTTTTTGATGGTTTGGTTTAGCTTATTTTGTTTTATGGCATATCAACACTTCAAAGGATTATTTAATGCCAACAAGATTTTTCGAATAGGTTTATATGAATAGAATATGTATTCTTTGGAAGAAATCATTTTGTAGATCAGGTTTCATTGACATTTTTGTAAAGATTTTTGTCGAAAATCAAATGAATTGCTGGTAATATTTTTTTCTTTCCAAAAATGTATTGCTGGTAATAAATGGTGGTTTTAAGAATTAGTGTTGGATTTATTTGTGCTTTGCTGATGAGATTTTTCATGTAAAAGTTTGATAGCATTTTCTTTTATATCAAATAGATTTTTCTATTTAGGATTAAAGGTACAGCGGTAGACAGGGTTAGTTGGACAGGATTTGAGTTTTAGATGATATTGTAGTATTAGTTTTTCTTCTTTCAATTTTAACAGTGTCTCATGGGCTTCAGTGTATAAACTATCTACAGGTGATGTTTTGAAGGCACCCAGAACCAGTCTTACTCCTGCATGGTGGATGGGGTCAAGGGTTTTTAGGTAGGATTTCCAGGTCAGTCCATATATGAAACATTCTTAGTCCAATTTGGTTCTTAAAAGAGTTCTATATAATTTTAGGAGTGATATTCAATCTGTTCCCCAGTCAGTGTTAGCCATTGGAGCCAGTAGTAATTGTAATGCTTTGAAGCATTTCTATTTTATGTATTTTAAGTGGGAAATGAATGTAAGATTTTTTTTATCAAAAAAAGATTCCTAGAAATTTATGTTGGTCAGTCATTTTAATTTCTTTTCTTTCAAGTTTAAGAGTTGGACCATTATGCATTTTTTCAGATTGCAGAAATGGATGCACTTTGTTTTGGTTGGGGAGAATTTGAAGCCGTTTTTGATAGTCCATCAGTTTAATTTATTTAGGCACAGTTGTCATTCTGCAGTGTGCATATTTTTTGATCTGTAGCAGATCAAAACGCCATCTACATATAATGAACCATTGACTCCTTGATTTAAGCAATTAACAATGTTGTTAATTTTATATTAAAAAGAGTGATGGACAGAATGTAACTTTGTGGACCTCCTCCTTCTTGGATTTTTAGGTCTGAGAGAGTTGATCCTACCAAAACTTTGAAACTTCTGACAAAAAGTTATTTATCAAATTGGGTAATCCAGGCTTGTATAGATATTTCATTATTCCATGTTTCCATGTTGTTTCATAGGCTTTTTCTAGATCAAAGAGAATGGCTATTGTGTGTTCTTTTTTAATAAAAGCCTCTCTAATGAAAGTTTCTAGGCAGACTTGTGCTGTCTATGATGTCTCTTTCGTTTTGGAATCCACTTTGGAGGTTGGTAATTAAACCATGAGTTTCAGGGTATCAGTTCAGTCTTTTATTCACTATTCTTTCTAGGGTTTTGCATATACAACTTACGTTGTGCTGGAAGTTTTTTGGGTCTGATTTGTCTTAATCTGATTTTGGTATAGGGATCAAAGTAGCTTGCTTCCAACTCTTCAGGAGTTTGCCCTTAAACCATATATTGTTAAAGATGTTTAACAGATATTTTAAGGATTTGGGCAGGGGAGTTGTTAAAGAAATTCATAATGAATTTCATCTGAGCCAGTAGCTGTATTATGTGATTCACTTATCGAATCTATAGGTTCATTTAGGGTAAAAGGATGGTTGTAATCTTCTTTGTTGTTCGAGTGAAAGTTCAACTGATTCTTTTTCTGCATCTTGCTTAAATTTTTGGAATTGCTGTTTGTAGTTTTTGTTGGAGGAATTTTGTTTAAAGGTTTCAATGAGTACATTTGTTGTATCCTTTTTGCTTGTTATTTTGAGAAAGGTGATTTAGTGGAGGTGATAGATTTTTGCTAGCAATTTTCCTTATCATATTCTAGACTTTTTTGGTTTGGTATAGAAGTTTATTTTATTTATGTAATCTCTCCATGATTTTCTTTCAGCTTTTTTGATGGCTCTGCATGTTATTGCTTTATTTAGTTTGAATAGATTGAAATTATGGGTTGTAGGTTGGGGATTAAATTTTTGTAGTGCTGCTCTATGTAATCTTATTGCCTTTTAGCAATCTTTGTTGAACCATGGTCTTTGATGTTTCTTTGATTCATTGCTTTTTGGTATACATTTTCTTGCAACTGCTATTAATGTTTCAGAGAAATATTGAATAGATTTTTTATTGCTGTCTTTGTTAGTTTTTGACAGCATTGGTTTTTATAATCCATCCAGTCTGTTTTGTTTAGTTTCCATTGAGGGAGATTATTTTCAATTGGTCCTGAACTCTTCAGTATAATTGGGTAATGAATCATTGTGCACTTGCCAACTGTAGTCCATAAAAATAGAGGGGGTCACACAGTGATAAGTCAATAGCTGAGTATGTACCTGATGCAGGATGTAGATATGTATTAAACTTATCCTTTAGTAAACATAAGTCATTGTTGTTAATTACATTTTCCAGGTTTCTCTCCTTTTTGTCTGCTTGGATCCCCATATAATATTGTGACTGTTAAAGTCACCTAATAATAGGAATGGTTTTAGTAATTGTTCTATTAGTTTATTTAGATCAGTTTCTTTTATGGGTTCATGAGCTGGGATGAGCAGATGTTAACAGTTTTTTGTAGGGGAGTTTTTGTAGCAATTGCTTGTAGATTGGTTTCTAGAAGTATTTGGCTTTGGGGCGGGGAGGGATGTCATTTCTGATTAGAATCAATACATCCCCAAATGTCCCCTCTGTTGAGAGTCATGTATGTAGTTATATTGAGTATAGTTTTTACTTTATCATTTAGTTTTAGGAATGTTTCTTGAAGGCAAATGATGGCGGGAAGTTGATATGTTATGAGTAGGAGTAATTTATTTATGTTTGCTTTTAGGCCTCAACAATTCCACTGTATAATTTTTGGCATCATATTTATGTATTAGGGTGTTATGAGTTTTTGCTTGTCCAGTTTATGCTTAGTAGGTGAAGTGTCCATAATTTCTATGTCTGTTAGTACCTTTCTTCTTATGTTTTGTCTTTGGAGGTCTTTTGTTTTTGCTTGTCTGTTTGGTTGTGTTTGGTTTGTTTTTCCATTATGTTCTTTTGGCAATCTTTGTCTTGATGATGACCATTTCCTTATTTGAGATGGGATAGAGTTTTTTTTTATCTATGTCCATTTCTCTTGGTTCTTTAGTGATGTATTGAGTTGTGTTTTTTCTTTTATGAATCTTTTGATTCTCTTGTGAATGTTAAGAGGGGGGTTCTGTTTCTTGAAGGATTTTTCTACTTTGGATTGGGGTTTTCGAAGTTATTTGTTTTGCACTCATAGATTCTTTTTGTTTGAGCTTGACACAATAGGATTTGTTTTGACTATAGATGTTTGGTTTATGTATGGTATACTAAATTTTAGTAATTCTATTAGTTTTTTTAATTCATTTATAGTTGTAAGTTCTTGGTTTCTTATTGTGTTGTTCTCTTGTATGTCATTTTAATGATTTGTTATTTTAGTAGTATTTGTGTTTGATGTTGGAAGTGAGTCATTTTCAATCTGCTTTCTGGCTTCTTGGAACAAGATGTTTTGTGTGTATTTTATTATTACTATTTGTCTTTCCTTTTTCCAGTTGTTATACTCTTTAGAATCTGCTGAGTGATTTTTGTTTGCAGTTTGGACATAAAGGAGGGTGACTAGTCATGATCAGATGCAAATTCGCCACATCTTCGATAGACTGGTACTCTCGTACATTGATCTTGTAGATGGCCAAATTTCTGGCATCTATGGGGATTAGGAATGTATGGCTCTACTTTGGATATTGTGTATCCTATTTTTATTTCTTTCCATAGGGTCGTTTCATTGAATGTCAAAATGTATGTGTTTGTATTTACGGATGTGCCATTTCTTTCTATTTCATATGAAACTTCAGGGCTATTTTATATCAGATCAGGAGTCACTCCATCCCCAGGCGTCATGGGTCGCTGCCCATGGCAAACAGGTGGCCCCTTTGAAGGCGGCCTCATTGAATTTTATAGATATTTTTTATGAACAGGTTCCTACCTGAGATAGACAGATAGATGGGATAGGCCAATCCAATGCAATCAGCTAGTCACATAATGGTAAAGGCTAGTTGGGGTAAAAGAGAATCACTGCAACATGACTTCAAATGCTTACAATGTAGGTGCTTGCAGTCACTTTCAGCACAACTATACCATCTGTATAGCCCTGGCAGATCAGGCGAATGGGATTAGTCCCCCCGATAGTAGTGTCCCTTAAGAAGGAACTCTGGAGCAGGTGGGGAGCACAGACGGTGAATACAAAAACAATATAATATGACTAACTCTTATAAATGATCCAAGAGACAGTATGAAAACTCTGAAACAGAAAGTGACAATTAAATATCAGGAAAAAAAAAAACAAACAATTTTCCTATTAATAGAATCATGAGAAGGTGAAATAACAAAAGTGTCACCTTTTGTGTTATTTAGCCACTGGCAACTTTTCTTTTTCCCTCCCAAGCCAACTTGTTTCAAATTGAACGGTTAATTTTTTAAGCTCTCTACAATGTTTTTTTTCTGAAGACCAAAAATTAAAAAAAGTGACATGATTATTTTACAAATTGAAAATTGCATTTACCTGTTTTCTGTTGTCAAATCTTCGATAATTTTCTGCAATTCCTGGACATGCTGTACAGCTGCCAATTCTGATGGAGATGGAGTACGACTCTCCTGTAAATACAGAATAGAAATACGTGAAGGTTGATATTGTTGTTTGGGAAAACCTTTTGACAGAAAATGTCACTTGAAAGGTCAGCATTTTTGGGTAGGCCTGATTAGTTCTTTTAGAGTTTATGAGTAAAATATGATAATAATAATCCAATGTAGATACTAAGCTTAGCTTAGTTTGGCACAAAGCCAAAATAGTCGGCACCTAATAGCGATTATACTCTCTAACAATAGTTTGTGAGAGTACTTTGATAGTTATCATTTAATGGAAGATGATATTTAAAAGACAGTTACTGACACAGCAAATTTAACAATGTGCATTTCATTTTATATTAACGACACAGCTGACATGAATTTAAACAAACATTTGTTGTGCATTGTTATGTGATATTTAGGGCAGGTTTCAACCTGGATGGTTTGTCATACTTGACATTATTTATAAATAAAACATATTGCCAGTATAAAAAAAAAAATCAACAGTAGATATACAAAAGACCACCAATTTTCCAGTACCTCTTTTAATCTGGACATAATGCTGAGTGCACAGACCAAGTAGAAAACTGCAAAATTCTTTTAATTCTAGTCAACTGTTTAAGCCATCCTCAAGCTGATCTGCTGTGTTAGCTTAACATATATATATATATATATATATATATATATATATATCATACTTAGTATGAAAATGGACATTTCTTGTCAAACTCCCAAGACCAATGAATATTGATACTATGAAAGTGAAGCGCTATTCACTTTTCAATAAGGCTGCCTATTTAAACACTTAGTAAAGAATTTAATAAGAGAAATATTTGCTTAATTTTAATTTTCTAACAGTCCTAATGTTATTATGTAAGCATAATTGATGGGTCATGGGTACATTATTGAATAATTACATGATCACTGGCAAAATGGCTGATATGCCAGAATTCTGGAACCAATTGTTTTTGATAATCAGTAGCTGACATTGACACCAGTTCAAGAGGAACATTTTGAAGAGAAAATAATGAAAAAAAAAAAAAGAAAGAAGATACATTGACCCTCAGAAAATGTGTGATCAATAAAAGCAGTGAACAGAAGAGGTGGGATGAAAAAAGCGACATATTTGGTTGTTTGTTAAAGGCCCATTTTTAATGAACACAAAACTTAAGATAAGAAGCAATAAAGAATAAAATAGTTTCACCATTGCTTTTCACATTTCACAAGAACAACCTTTTCTTCAAACAAAATCAAACACATTTCCATATTTTGTTAATCAAATATTGATTACTTACAAGTATATATTTTTCAGAATTATTTTCCTTCTTTATATTCTAAGAATTATCAGATGGAAAAAAAAATTTAATTCTTTATTAGATTTGTTAATCTTTTTTTCTTCTTTAGTGTTATCATATTGCGAGTTTACTTTCAAAAGATAAATCCAACCTAATATAGACATATATTGTATTTGTCAGCCTTGTACAAAATGAACATGTAAAACACTAGATCACACTTATATTATAGATATGAATTAAGATTAACTTTATCTAACACAAAACCAAAATAGTGTAGCACTCAGTGATTATTGAATTCAGGGAACTAGAAAGCATCAACTAAAAATTACTCTACAACAAATGCTAACTTTTGGAATACTAGGATTGTAGAGGTGGAATCGAACCTAAGGCAGCCCAGTTACAAGACCGGAATGGTCTTGGCGTCACACCCCATAAGTAGACTCGCCCGCTTACATGAGAGGCGAGAGGGGCTATAAACAAGACATTTACGGCAGCAGTATCTGAGGCAGATACCACGTCGTCTCGCTGCTACCTTACATGGCGTCGCCGATATAGGAAACCTGCTACAAACAACGTTGGAATATGGACGAACAAACACAGCAGACATTACTGGAGACAGCTCATCGAGCTACAGCAAGATCATCGCCCTTAACGAAGAAAACAAGGACAGCCGAGAAAGTCACTTACAAGGAGACCCGACAGACCTAATATAGAACCGGACTCAAGTGATGGTGACTGGGCGATATTCATTGACTCCTGGAATAGATACAAGGAGATGTGTGGGTTGACGGAGCCAACAGCGTTAAGAAACGAGCTGAGAATTATTTGTGCCCCAGAAGTGAACAGGCTGTTGTTAATTTTACTAGGAAAAGAAGTACTAAACTCTGTCACGGAGGAAGAGCTGTTCTTCTTACATAAAGCTCACACACACACGTCAAGCCTACAAAAAGAAGTGTACCGGCAAGAATTCCACTCCGTAAGGCAGAAGGAGGGGAATCGATTACAGACTTACTTTGGTCGACTTGATCAGTCATAAAATTCTGCGACTTTTCAGTGACTTGTCCGAGCAGGATAGGATGCGGTTTTTCAAGTCAGCTACTCAACGATATGGTAGCAGGACAAATGGTGGCTGGGCTGGCAAACCCTGGAGCATCAAAGCAAGGTGTTGTCTGAGGCTGCGACACTTATGACACTGGAAGAAAAAAAATCAACAGGCTTGTCAGCCTAGAGACCACGGACAAGTCTACACCCCATCTCCATAGTAACGTATACCCTACTACAATGAGCACACAGAGATCGGACACCAGGCAGCGGCCTCGTTTTTTCTTCAGACCGTATCAACCCCTAGAGACACTGAACCCTGTAAATGGTGTGGGAAGAGCTCACACCCCTGGCGGCTCGAATGAGCGAAGGGGTTGCCCAGCAGCAAAGATGACTTGTCACAATTGCGGCTTAACGGACATTTAAAAGGGGTTTGCAGGAAACCGAAGCAGGGGTCCAGCAACAAATCTACAGCGGGTGTGGTTTTTGCAGAATCCAGAACTCTCACCACCCAAAGACACAAGAAGGGTCTTAACGGATGATCGTCCAAGATGGACAAGTGAAAAGGAGAGGTTTCATCAACCTGAAAAACCAAAGGCCGTGCAGCACCTGATTTGGAACAAAAGTAAGTTCGAAGAGGTACTCCTGATCCAGCACCAACCCTGATGGTAGAGATAACTCTGATTCCAGAGGCCCATGCGAATTCGGGCACATATCCATAGGACAAGCTGGCCTCCATACTCACCGGATCGAGCGATCGCCACACTGGGGCACAGACATGCTCTAGCGGACCAGAAATCAAAAATTCTGAAGTGTCCAGACAAATGTCTAACACCGACTAGTCACGGTCGGGAATCACGGATAACCTACTAAACATAAAAGGCGTGATATTAAGCTAAAAAGTCAGAGTAGGATCATGGGAAACACGTCAGATTATATATGTATCAAAAAATACATCAGATTTCTGCCTGTCCGAGTCGGCCCTAAAGACCTTGGTCTGGTGCCAGATAACTTTCAGACCCAACTTCCCAGCAGAACGTGGCAACTAGCGACGGCGGAAAAGGCACCATGTGGGTGCCCACAAAGAACTAATGTCCCACCTAAGCCGAACAGTATCCCTTCGCTCCTATGGAAAAAACAGACCCGATTGGAACGATGGATGAAGGAGCATTTTTGGTCCAGTGCATTCAATGTATGCCCACATCAACGGCTGCAGGCGATGGAAGGAAAAACCCATGGACATCACATTCATCCCGGGGCCAAACCCTCAGCTGTCCACACCCCAATCCCGTCCCACACCATTGGAAGAAAAGAGTCAAGGAGGATCTCGACCGAGGCGTGGCATTGGGCATCATAGAACCTGTACCAGTGGGTACACCTACAACATGGTGCTCTAGAATGGTGGTTGCACCGAAAAGGACCAGGTCACCGAGGCGTCGGTGGACCTACAAAGCTCAACACTGCTACCCTCGAAAACCCATCATACACGTCTCCTTTCAATCAGGCATCGCTGGTGCCTGCGAAAACTAGAAAAACCGTTTTGGATGCATGGAATGACTATCATAGCCTAACCCTCTCCATCGGCAAGAGATGCAACTACCTTCATCACGGAATGGGGGTAGATACCCGTTATCTTCGGGCACCACAAAGTTCCAAATCAGGAGAGCGCATATACCGCAGGTTCGACGATATTACTGTAGATATGACCAGGAAAACAAGATGTATTGACGATGTTTGATACTATGGGACAACTCTATTGAATCATCATTTTGGCATACTATAGAGTACATAAATAACTGCAGCAAAAATGGTATTGTATTCAACCCCCCCAATTTCACTTCAAAGAAAAAGAATTGGAATTTGCGGGTTCTTGATAACAGAAGGCGGGATAAAACCCACCAAAAAATGACTGAAACAATCCGAATTTCCCAACACCAAAAATATAACTGACATAAGATCCTGGTTTGGAATGGTAAACCAGGTAGCCTCACTTTTTTTCTCAGGCGAGGTAATGGCCCGTTCAGGGAGCTACTAAAGACAAAAAAATCGGAAGTTCTACTGGGACAGCACACTCGATCGAATCTTGAAGAATTTTTTTTAGGATCACAGAAGAAATCGAGAACGGTGTAAGAACCTTTTGAAGTGAATAGGCCAACTTGTTTGTCGACGGACTTCAACAAAACAGGCTTAGGATATTTTCTTTTCCAAAGCACTGCAACTGTGCCACGAAGCTGGACCGAAGTGTGGTGAGGACCACTGGAAGTTAATCCTGGCCGGCTCGATTCACTAATGGCGCAGAGTCCCAATATGCACCAGTGGAAGGAGAAGCATTGGCATTAGTCTACGGACTGGAAGCATGCGGATGTTAGTTTTTTTGGTGCCCAGAGCTGTTAGTCACCGTGGACCATAAGCCCCTGGTGAAGATCTTCTCGGACAAAGCTCTGGAGGACATAAAGAACCCAAGACTGTTTAACTTCAAAAAGCGGTCCTTGATGTACAAATTTGAATAAAGAATCTCCCTGGCAAACTCAATGCGGCACCAGACTGTACATCCAGATGCCCAGTGGCGTTAAGCCAGGAGGAAGCAAGCGAAAAGGACATCGCTGAAACTATGGATAGCGCCATAAGGCGTCATTTAACTCCACCTGTGAGCAGGACCCTAAATTAAGAGCAATAACATGGGACAGGATTGTGGCTGCAGCTGCTACTGACGAGGAATGCCGTTCCCTCGCCGAATTCATACAAAATGGCTTCCCTAAATCTCGCACGAACTGCGGAGACAATTCGCCCGGTTTTGGCATATGAAAAAGGAGTTATATTGCTTGGAAGGGGTGACGATAATGGAAAATAAAATCCTCATACCCAGAAAGCTACGTGCGGAGGTACTGGAATCGCTCCATTCAGCGCATCAGGGCGTCAATGGAATGTTGGCAAACGCTAGACAGCGGCTGTTTTGGCCAGGACTGGGCGAGCATTAAATCAAACCGGGCCCAGTGCAAAGTATGCAACGTAATAGCTCCATCACAACCCAAGGAACCCCTAATGCCGCCCTCGAACCCGGTTCCCATTTCAGAAGACTGTAGAAGGACTTCTTGATTTACGAGGAAGAACTATCTAGTATATGCAGATAGATACACGGATGGGTAGAAGTCACTCTGATGTCGTCCGGGAATGCCAAGGCTACATGTGACGCCCTCTTTTTTGTGGTTCTGCAATCTTATGGCGTGCGGAGGAACTTTCAACCGATGGCGGACCACCGTTTGACTCCAGTGAATTTAACGGTTCCTAGATAATTGGGGCATAAGAAACAAACATCATCGGCATATTACCCTCAAAGCAACGGGAGAGCAGAACTGGCAGTTAAAACGGCTAAAAAGGATACTTGTTGATAGCACGGACAGTTGCGGTCGCCTATGCCATGACCAGGCAGCTAGGTCCCTACTGACTCATCGCAAACACCCGGTGCAGAGACCTACATATGTCTCCAGCGATGATGCTCTTACGGTCGCGTGATAAAGGACCATCTCCCAGTGCTCCAGGACCCGATATCGAATCCACAAACACTGGAGAGAAATCAGTCATTATAGGGAAACAGCGATGGCAAAAAGACAATAAGGAATGAAAAGAGGATACAATCTAAAAAGTCACCCACTTCAGGAACTGAAAATCGGGAAAGCGGTGCAGATACAGAACCAAGTTGGTCCATACCCAGCGCCCGATGGGCAAAGACAGGAAGGGTGGTGGAAACACTGGGTAACCCGGCAGTATAATATGCATGGATGGGAGTAACCATGTAACCCGTCGCAATCGCTGATTCCTCCGAAAAATAAACCCAGTAGTAGATACTCCTTGCCACTCGATACCTGAGGTGCCCCCCAGGAATGTTGGTTATCATAGACAACCCAACAGGGCCCGAAATACCGGAGAATGGTCCACCACTGATATGGATCAAAACCAGCCCGAAACATCCGACACTCTACCAGAACCGATGGAGGTAGATGACACAGCATCCCCTAGAATGATGGAGGTTGAGGAAGACCAACGGTGCGTCGTAGCAGAAGGGTGAATCAACCACCCAGGAACCTATCCCCACAGGCGTGGGGCACGTCGCACTATTTACTACTCCAGAGCCTCAAAACATTGGACCACAACGTGAGTATCTTGTGGCCCCGGAAGGGAGGGGGGGCGTGTAGAGGTGGAATCGAACCTAAGATGCCCAGTTACAAGACCGGAATGGTCTTGGCGTCCACACCCCATAAACTTGACTCGCCCGATACATGAGAGGGTTAGTCCATACCAAAACAAGACATTTACTGGCAATGAGTATCTGGGCAGATTCACCGTGTTTCTTGCTGCTACCTTTGTTGGATATTGAGATAATTTAATCATTTTAAATTAAAATAGGTTATATTGGTATTGGGAATTGGATCTTACTGAAAAGTTTGTTTAAAGGCATATCAACTCCTTATGGGTCATTTAATGCCAAAATTTGATTTTGGGGGGAGTTTGAATAATTTTTTCTTTTTACAAAAATCTATTGCTGGTAATTTTTTTTTTTTGCACTTTATACATATTAATAAGTTTGATTAAAGGCTATAGACAAGGCCGAATTTTAAAATGTTTAGCTAACTTTTGTTGTTTATGTACAAAAGAATTCTTGCATGGATTCAATGACTATAAATATTTGTCCAAATGTTTGTGATGTAGCATATTTTCAACCATACTTTTGGTCATTATCAAGATCAGGATAAAATTGTGGATGTGTTATTTTTGTATTACATTTCCTTGCCTTTTGTACATAATTTCATTTACATTTAACATTTTCTGATTTATAATAATTCTAAAGACCTTCACATTCCAGAAAACAGGGATGGTCCTCCCCCAAACCATGACCTTTATGCTATAATTCTTAGAGTGAAGTTTTGTAAAAAAAAAAAAAAAAGAATGTGTACATTATATAGTGGTCAATAAAATACATTTAGAGGTAAAGAAAATGATTTAAACATATTTAAAGAATATCTTTTGTGTAATTATTAAAAGAGAGAAGAGTATATAGCTGCCAAGATTTCCTTGTGAAGAATATAAATTAATGGAAAGACAAGGCGGGGAAAAAAAATCAGAACCTTGCTGTGTACACTGGCCGTGACAAGGACATTGTCTGTCTGGAGGGACTTGGTGCTGGTTTGTCGTAGCTTGTTGTTCTGTTCTTCATTGTTAATACACAGACGGGCAGGTGCACTTGAAGCACTGTCAGAGCCATGACTCATTGTCAATCGTGACACTTGGTCCTCATACATTGTTGACCTACGAGTTGATGTCGATCTGCATTAGAAAAATAAAAAAAAGGAATAAAGAAAACATTGATAGCTTTGAATAAAAATATATGTGTGTGTGTGTGTGTGTGTATAAAAAATTCAGATATAATTAAAATATATCTGTAAAAGTACAATAGGAATAAAGACAAAAGGAAAATTGATGCATTTTGTCCTCTGATGGATTTCATCACAAAAAGGATCTTATACACAACAATTTATAAAATTCATTAGTTATTCATAGAAATAAATTCAACCACTGCTTTTATCTAAAGAATGCCACAATTATTAAAAGAGAAAGTAACTTACTTAGAAGTAAAATTCTCGAGAGTGCCGCTATCGAATCTTATCAAAAGATAAATCTGCAACCCAGATTTTTCCAAATATCTCCATTCCTAAAAGAATTACTTCTTTTTCCCAAGCTAACATAAATGAATATAAAAATTTTAAAAATTAAAAGAAAACTGTTAACTTCACAATCTCCTGTTATTTTAAAAATATATAACACATAAATTTATCACATACTAAAATAATTTAAATATTAATTGCATAAATAATTCAATAACATCATTTTCTCACTTTCCTTTATTAGATTTTAGATTACGTCCCTTAATATCCTCTAAAATTTAACAAAACTTTTCAGTTTGCCTGATGAATATTTATGAACATCTCTTAAGTTTAAAAATTTTGAAAAACTAAAAACATTTTTAATTCTGTTTATAAATAATTGTTGAGAAATAAAATCCTTACATTTGCTTTGATAAAGTCCATCAAAGGATGAAACATGTTGGCTAAGATAAGTTTTCCTTTCATCTTTATTTACACACATTATATATGCACACACACAGACACACATGCATCCTGTATTGAGAAAAATAAACAAAGACAAAAATACCAATAATTTCAAAATTTCAATTATAATGAATAATGTATCATGTGAACATCTTATATATGGCAGTTAAGAATAAATTTTGGAGTGCACTAACATATCCTTGTTTTTGCATGGCAATGGCAGCACACACAGAGGATAAAGGAAAAGTGTCGTTCTCCTCCATGACAATGCAAGATTGCATAGAGCAGAAATAACACAAGAAAAAATTGTGGAACTTGGTTGGTGTGTTCTATCCCACTCACCATTTCTTGCTGACCTTGTACTAACCAATTATTCCCTTTTTCAATCACTGCAAAACACTTTTATGGGAAAATGCTTTCTACCAAAAAACAATTCTAGAGTTTGTCAAAAACATCTTCACTTAAAAAACTGGTGAAATTCTAATAAAAAGTTATTGCAGAGATGCCTGACAAGTGGCAAAAAGTAATTGCAAATAATGGCAAGTAGATAATTGAATAAAATGTAATTTTGTATTTTTATTTTTTGTAGATTAAAGTCCATAAAAGATAAACAAAAATTATTTATGACTTAACCTAATTTTTTTTTTTACAAGCATTTACTTCAAAGCTTATTTCCTGCACACATCTAAAGAGCATCTATAACTGCACATTATTATTATAAGATTTATCATATGAATAATATATATCATATGATATAAAATATTTTATTTTCAGTTGCATTTTGTGTTTCAGATGTTATAATGGTTGCTACAAGTATTGAGATTCTGGCAATTTTAATCTGTGACTCAAAACTGCTGAAGAATTTTGGGTAGTGGAAGGGAATGAAACAATATTTGATTATATTGTCCCCCAAACTGGCTGAAGTATTTTAAGTGGGGTGATTTGAAATAAAGCCCAGAAGTATACTGTTTTATAAACTGCAGTGTCCAAGGAAAGAGAAGAAGAAGAAGATAAGAAAAGAAGAGGAGCATCCATCACTCACGTTGTGTCACTGCTACAGCTGCTGTTGCAGTTATCAACGGGCAGATATTTCACACGTCGCTTGTGTCGATGTTTCTTGCTGAAGTTGTTCCTCATGGTTACTAAGAAAGCTTTCATGTCCTGTTTAGTGCTGGCCTGTAGTAAAAAAAAAAAAAAAAAAAAAAAACTGGAGTTGATCCCACCTTGATAAAACTTGTGTAGAATATCTTAAGTTTCAAAGCAGATGTTAAAAGCGCTTATGGGAGTTTAATGTTGCCAAGGGAGGCAACTTGACGGTAATTTTATGAAGGTATAAAGTTTACCAATAACTTTTCCTTATAGGTAATGGTCACTTATAGATGTGCATTGACATTATGTTATGTAAACTATTTGAACATGCATGCACGCATACATATGCACACACACACGGAAGAGTTTCCAGTGCTTTTTATTAAAAAAGTTAAAAAAAAACAAAAAAAAAACAGTTCTTGTATGTTTCCAAACACCTTATATACTTAAGCAGAGAGGACATCTGGATGGAACATATACAAATTTACTTAAAAAAAATCTAGAACATCAGTTAGAGAACACATGTAACACTTAACACAATTTATGGAGATCTCTTTTAAGCTCAAAAAAATGATTACGGCTTGCTGGCCACTACCACTGAGTGGACAGGGAAATTGTCTCATCCTTACTTCTATAGCATCTTTCTGAAAGTGTTTTCTCACAAAAACTGACTTTCCCAGACACCATGGCTCAGGATTCAGGATTGAATATTGGGGATAGCAATTCAGGACTGAACAGTGTGGAAAGGGATTGTCAATGGAGTTCCCACCAACCACAGGGAGATTGAAGGATGATGATGATGATGATGATGAAGCAGCAAAAATTCATTCAAACATTTTAGTAAATTTAACTTAGAATATGTGCTTGTTTAATTTTTTATTATATTTTCCAGTTTACATATAAGCTATTGCACATGTTGATCAAATTTAAAAAAAAAACTTTGCAAAGTTCATAATGTTTTCTACTTGAATACTTATATGTATCATTGGTCATTGTCAAGAATGTTAATGTTACCCATAACAACAGAGAATTTCAGTGCTGAATTGTTTTGTAATATCAATCCACCTATATGATAATGAATGCTGGACAATCTCTTCATAGATGATGATGAGACTTGAAGCAGCAGAAACATGGTTCTACAGAAAGATGCTGAGAATACCATAGACCGAATATGTGAGCAACAACAAACATCTAGAGACAATGGAAGAAAAATGGACACTTATACTTAGAATCAGAAAGAGACAGTTGAAATTTTTAGTGCACACAATGAGAAAAGAGGGCTAAGAAAATATCTCACTCACAGGACATATTGAAAGCAAGAGGGACAAAGGAAAACAGTGCATGACCTACCCTATCAGCTTGTGTAAATGGTTGGCAGAACAGAGCTTAGGAAAGATAGCAAAAAGACAAAATTTACCAAGAACTATAAATGACAGAAAATTGTGAAGAACCATAATCACCAAATGTCCTGAAAGGGGGACAGGGTTATATAGAAGAAAAATTTGGCAAACATGGATAAACCTGTCCACAATAAGATGGAATGTCAAAAGGACAGTTTTTTTTCCAATGATACTGCTATTAGTTTAACTCTCTTCACTCTTCAGCAGTGTTTATTGATTTAAAAGTGATGATTAAAATTTTAATAAAACCTAAATGTATGAAAGTGAATTTATACAAAATCTTGGTTCCTGAGAATTGACAACAAAAATAATAAGTTTATTTATTAGATTGTTTATTTACACTATTTATTTATATTATTTATTGGAATGGTTGGTAAAATATCAGTTAATTGCTAATTGATTCCAAACTTTATAAAATGGTAAATAAGGATTTCCTTATAGTTGGTTCACATATTTTAATAATTTGGTAAATGTTTATAAATTAATGAATAAAAATTTGTTTTCACATATATTTCTTTATAAATTGGTAAATGATAAATATTGCATTGCATTAATTTTAATTGTATTAGTTTTTAGAATGTTGTAAATATAAAATTATTTATGTAAATAAACAATCTAATAAATAAAGTGTTTAATATTTTTGTTGTAAATTCTCAAGAACAAAAAAAATGTATAAATTCACTTTCAATATGTGTTTAGGTTTTATTCTAATTCTTATCATAGTTTTTTAAAACAATAAACATTCCTAAAGAGTGAAGGTAGCTAAAAAAGCGGTGTCATGGGAAAAAGTCTACTTTTGACATTACACCTTATCGTGGGCATGTTTATCCATGTTTGACAAAATGTGTTATGATTTTAATTTTAATGTACATGTATACAAGTAACATAAAATGTAGAAAGGTTTTTAACTAAATCTAAAGTATATACATTTTAAATGAAAAAGAAAAAGTTAGTCAGCAGTCACATGATTGATAACATTTAAGGATAAAGATATTAAATTTAAAATAAAATTTAAAAACACTAAAACGTTCTGTAGATTTCTGGCAAATGGCATACACACCATGTTTGTCTAACATGAGCTCATTTATGGGACATGGGGGGGGGCTATTTTTATGCAATGTCCTGCACTTACAAATAGGGAGGTGCAGACAGCTACCAAGTCAGTATGTCTCAACATCTCTCCAGAGGTCTTTTGACTAGTTGACATCATGTTGAGTTACTGCACTTTACCAGGTTAGTGGGGATCCTGCACAATAATTAGGCAACTATACAATGACTTTTGTCATATCAGTGTGTGTGTGTGTGTGTGTGTGTAATCCACCTCTGACTTAAACCACTTCCCAAAATCAGTATTCTGATCTTTGGTCATCAAAATATTAAAATATTTATGTTAGGGAGTAGGTCAGGCTGATAAATTTTCATTACTCTTTCATATATATATATATATATATATATATATATATGATGAATGATAGTAGTAAGAAGAATTTGTCACATGTAAAGCACTTTTTAGATATGCAGTTTGTGTTTCATACAAATACAATCAGTAGTTAAACATTACACATGCAAAAACAGTTTCTCTGTTATCACTTCTACAATATATGTCAGCAACAGAACAACTTACGACAGCACAGAATTCTTTCAGGGGATGTTTCAGTTTGTGTTTGCCTTTTGTCTTTCCCAAGAAGAAGCACTGTTGACACATATCAAAGTTGAAACATTTTAGACACCGATATCTGCACAAAAGAGAAAGAAAATATGACAGTCAAATGATTATGTTGTAGGTATTTATTGGAAAGATACTAATTTTAGTACAAAAATACTTTTCTGAATGCTAAGTAGGGATAGGGCTCACTCTAAAAACTTGCTCAATATGCAATACAATCTAATAACAGTTCCTGATAATTATTAAAATGCTAAGGCATTCCATCAAAAAGTATTGCAGCCTAATCTAATTTTATGATAGATAACAAGAATAAATATAGAAACTTTTACAGTAACCCAATATTTATACATTGATTGTGATAGCATTTTTAGTTGTAAATTTGGAATAAGAAAACTCAACTTCTTATATTTGTGAAAGCTAATGATGAAACAAGTTCCTGTCAAATTTCTATGTGGGTTGCATAATTCATCCACACAACTGATTTATAATTTTAAATGAAATATACTTTTTTTTTATCTTACTGCTAAAAATGTCATGCAAGATAATTTGCTCAATGTGTGGATGATATAAACAATCAACAAACCAGAACACATCACTTTCTACTTTAATTTGTCATGCAGATAAGTTGCTTTTCAAGACACTCCCACATAAGTAGCCACATTTTTGTTGAACATGCATGATTGGATTTAAAGACTTGAGTTTTCTACATACATTTAATTAAATATTTAATTCAGCAAACAAACAATAAAATATTTGTATTATTATTTACATTATTCACAATCAGACTAATGTCCTCATTTTGTCATTATCATTAATTTTCAGCCATTATGACCTTGACACTTCTTCAGCTGTCTGTCACGCTGGGTAATCTTTGGGGAATTTCAAAATGAACACTTTAATCTAATCTTTAATCTAGACTAATGGATTAAAGTGTTAGTTCATGAATTTGGTATCATAGTGATCATAAGTTCAATTCCCAGGCCAGGTAGTACAGATTCAAAGTTATTGTAAAGAAGACAAGCAATATCATAGAGAATTCTCTAGGCAGGAACAATGGAACAAGAACAATCTCTCCCTGTAGATTAAATAAAGGATTCAGTTTGAAATTGATTAGAGGTTATCTGGATTGACAGACAACTGAATTGAAGAAGGTTGGCTGAAATGTGATAACAATAAAGATGAAGATATTAGTCCAACTGTAAATAATGTAAATAATTAAGTACTGAAAGCAAAATTTTCAGACAAAAAATATTTTCATTAATCAGGTGCATTATTTTAAATAATTTGACTGTCCTAAAAGTAACTTTAATTTTCTTTGTAAAAAAAAAAAAAAATAAACTTACTGGAATGTATTCAAATATCTGCATTTTAAATGATCTATGAATTGCTGCCAAAGAGAATTTTGTTGTTAAATGTTTTATTTGTTTTTTTGCTAGATTCTCTTAAGCAATGCTCTTGTTTAAAAATATTAGACATCATGTTAATAAATGCTAGTGTAAAAGTGTGTGTGTGTGTCTCCTTCTCCCTCTCTCCAAAATGTAATTAAAGTAATTTAAGAAGTTCATAGACTTTTTTGTTTTCAATCCAAAATATTTCTTATTACCATAAATATTATTTTTAAGCACTTCAATGTGGTGTAATGATTAGTAAGTTTGTCTCACTAAATCAATTACAGTTGAGTAATGAGTTTACTTGGTCCTTCATACTTTTAGTTTTGTGCTTAAAAAAACACCAGGTTGCTCCATACTACTGACCTTGTTCCACATCTAATCTATGCTTAGAAAAACATTAATGTACTTACTAAAATAATGTTTATAGTAATAAGAATGATATATTCTCTCTATTGAAAGTAGTTCATCTCTTTAAGCTGCAATCTTTTAAAGTTTACAGAAAGATAATCTTTATTCATAAAAACACAATAGTTAATAATTTTTCTTTGTTTGTCTCACTTAAGTATAGTTAAGCTTAAGTATTTTGTTCTTGCTGTAAATTTTCAACAACATTTCTTAATCCTTAATATTTCTCACCATTTCTGTAGGTGGGAAACATTACAACCATAAATGTGTTTATTGACTCTCACAGAATTTTAGATAATTGATCATCATTGTAGAGTAGGAGAGGCACCTGTGTCATACGGAGAGACTGTCTGGAAGAAGAAAAACACTGTTAACCCATTTATTAAATGGACTAATCTGACCATATGCAAGATGTAGCACATATGTGAACAACACAAATTTAAACAAGGCTAGCAGGAAGTGGACAGATTGCAACCATCACTTAAGCACTCTACATGGCATCACTAATAAGACATTTAGAACTACAAAAATACAAACGTTCAAATTGATGACTTTGAAAGATAGAGACAAAATCAGCAATGGCCCAACAATATTTGCAGCTTATGCAACAACCTGCTGCACTACAAAAGAAAAATATCTCACTATGAAAGGGAGGACTTTTGTGGCCAGCCAAACATGTCTCATGTCAGAAATCTGGAATGATCTATGATAGGACTGGACACAACATGGGTGATCTTTATTGACACAGACACATTATAAAGAGATGTGTGAACTAATGGACCCAGCAGTTATCTGGAATGAGCTGAGGACAGTGTGTATCCCGGATTTGACTGAGTGGGGGCTGAGACAAACAATTTTGCCACAGAAGAACAGCTGTTATGGTAAATATGGCTTGTCACTGTCAGGGAGTTGCACGAAAAAGTGCACAAGCAGAAATTTCACTCTTTTTTGGAGTCAACCTGCCACAACCAAAGGCCATACCTCACCTTATTTGGAATGTAAGCAAATTCAGGGGTGGGGGGGTGCTCTTAATCTACCACCCTCCTTGACGATAGAAGTAACCATGATTCCAGAAGTCCATGCTGAATTCGGGTACACCTCCATGGGACTGACTAGACTTTGCACCCACCAAATCAGACCAGAGATACAGAAAGTTCTTAGATGCCCAGAAAAATACCAGACATCATTGGAAAAAGAGGGTTAAACAGGACATCGACTAGGATGTTGAACTGCCAATGGGTACACCCATAACTTGGTGCTGTAGGAATGTGGTTGCATCAAAAAAGGACGGCTTGCCCAGGTGCATGGTAGACTTGCAGACGCTCAATACTGCTATCTTGAGGGAGACCCACCATATCACATCTGTTTAATCAGGCCTTGATGGTGCCAGCACACATGAGGAAAACTGTCCTGGACACATGGAATGGGTACCATAGCCTCCCCCTCTCCTCAGCTGCATGTGACGCAATTATGTTCATCATTGAATGGGGTATATTTCGATAGCTTTTGGCCTCACAGTGATTCCACACATTGGGAGATGCATATACTTGTCAATTTGACGATATAACCATCAACATGGTTCGAAAATTCTAGTTAGATCCCAATTCACAAGTAATGCCAAGTCACACTATGCACTGGTGGAGGGGGAGGCACTGGGACTAGTATATGGATTAGAGTTGTGTTGAATGTTCATGTTGGGATGTCCGGAGCTACTATTAATGGTGGATCACAAGCACCTAATAAAAATTTTCTTGGTCAAAGTTCTGGAGGATATAAAAAACCCACAACTATTCAGCCTCAATGAAAGTTCATTAATATACAAGTTCCATATAAAGCATCTCCCTGGTAAATTCAATGCTGCACTGGACTGCACATCAAGGTACCCTGCAGTGCCAAGACAAGATGATACAACTACTAAAGATTCAGCACAGATGATTGACAGTGCCATAAAGGCATCATTTAATTCTACCTACAAATAAGACCCAAAGTTAAGGGCAATCACGTAGGACAGGATCATGGCCATGGCAGCTACAAATGAGGAATGTCAGTCCCTGGTGGAACACATACGGAAGAAATTCCTCAAGTCTCAGAATGAACTACCAGAGATAATCCACCAATTTGGGCCGGTGAAAGAAGTATTATACTACCTGGAAAGAGTGATGATAATGGACAACAAGGTATACATCAAAGCATTAATGGCATGCTGGCAAATGCCAGACAACAATTATTTTGGCCAGGGCAAGATGCAAGTATTCAACAGACTAGAGTCCAAGGCAAAACATGTCATGTAATGGCCCTGTTGCAGCTTAGGGAATCCTGAATTCACATTTTAAAAAACTGCAAAGGAAAAATTACATGGTATATGCAGATCAATACACAGGATAGGTAGAAGTTGCCAGTATGTCATCTGGAAAGGCCAGAAAAGCATGTGACACCCTAAAGAATTGGTTCTACACATATGGCGCCCCAGAAGAAGTATCGTCTGACAGAGGACTACCATTTGATTCCCAGGAACATGACATGTCAAAACGGCCAAGCAAATATTGGCTGACAGCACTGACAGCTATGACTGCCTATGCCATGACTGTGAGGCCAGATCCCCATTAACACACTGCAATACCCCTGTCCAAAACTTGGATATGTCTTCGGCAATGATGTTGTACAGTCATGTGACAAAGAACCATCTTCTGCCCCTCCAGGATAAATACCAAATTCGTAAATGGTGGGGCGATATAGGGAGACAACAAAAGCCAAAGGCATATGAAGAATGAAAAGTATTATATTGCACACAGTTGCCCACTTTGGCAGCTTAAAGATTGGGAGATTGGTTCAGATATAGAACCAAGCCAGTCAATATCTCCATGCCGAAAACTGGGAGACAATACCATGTATGCATTGACAGGAGCAACTGGGTAACCTGGTGCAACTGCAGCTATCTCTAGAAGATAAACCCAGTTGTGGACACCCCATACTACCCAACACCAGAGGCTGTCCCCCAGATACTGGATACATTGGATGACCCAACGGGGCCTGGACACTGACATCAACAACTCAACTAATGGACCACGCCTGTTGGTGCTGATTGGTATATGGACCTGCAATCTACACACTACCAGCATGAAGCCCCAAGTACTGCACCACGACCACCTTGAAGTCTATCCCCACAGACGTGGGGTACATTGCACAAGTACTGAAGGATGTCCTGCAATGGATTACAACACAAATGTCTTGTGGTCCCATGAAATGCAGGGGCATGTAGAATAGGACAGGTGGCTGTATCATACCTCGAGGGACATCCATAAGAACAACACTGGTAACCCATTCATAAAATGGACTAACCTGGCCATGTGCAAGATGTGGTACGTGTGTGAACAGTGCAAATATAAACAAGGTTAGTGGGAAGCTTGAGAAAATGAACAGATTGCAACCATCACTCAAGCACTCTACAATCATCAATTAACTGTAAAATCAAGGTATATTAAAATATTCTTTCTTTTACATCGATTTAAAATTAGTTAACATGACTATCTTTACACATTATCTTCTGCTCAAAGAGTTTATTAAAGAAAAATTAAAGAAAAAAAAACAATTAGACTATGTAATTTTTTATTTTATCTTTAAATAATATTAAGATCTTAGTGGACTTCATTCATAATAACTGCTGTATGAAAGAATATGATATATAAATTCCATATATCAAACAAATGGGGTGTAATTGGAATTTTCTTTTTTTTTTTCATTCAATTAGCCATAATATCTGTTCAAAGATAATAATTTATGTGTTAGCCTTGCAGTCAGTTGAGAGTGAACTTGTTTTTACTGAGTAAAAATATCTATCTGGCTTTCATCTGTATGAGACAAGTTCAAAAATATGGTGACGAATTTATCTAGGGGAGCTAACTCTGCTTGACAATTATCTACGTATTTTCTAAATGCAACAAGGTGCCTGAAAATGAAAACAAAAAGGACAAGAGAGGATAAAAAGCAACATACCTGAATCCTATGATTGGCCAATCTTTGCAGATATTACATTTGGCATCATGTTTAACTAAAAGAAAAAGAAAATAGTTAAATTCATATTTATAAAGTTTATAAACAATAATTTAATTAACCTTCTGTTTTGAAAAAAAAAATCAAATTTGTAATTAATCTCTGAAAAGTAGACATAAAATAGATTGTTTACAAAAAGCACTGATACTAAGAAATGATATCCACCTAAAATCCTTGCAAATGACTAATAGATTAGCTGAAAGCACTTGGAATCACACATTTAGACAATTTTCATTAAATCAAGAAAACACTTGTCCACATACAAAAAAAATATATTGAAAAAAACTTTGTTACCTTGTGAGTTTTGTTTAACAAAACATATTAAAAGAGGACTGCTATTCATATATATATATATATATATATATATATATGTTTTCATTAAAAACGACAGACAAGGTACTACCGTTGAGCTTTTTATTTAATTTTTCTTGTGTACAAGAAAAATTAAATAAAAAACTCAACAATATAATCTGTCGTTTTTAATGAAAACATAATAAAGGAAGGATTGCTGCCTAAATATACAAATATATATATATATATATATATATATATATATATATATATATAGATGATATAATGACATAATTTTATATATCAACAGTATTTAGAAAAATATGACAAACTGGAAAGGAAAAATTTCTTGTGATGCATTTCATCTATTAGGATTTCATTGGACTGGGCTTTGTTGATGTTGCCACATCTACACATGTGCATGAAACGAGAGATGCACTATCAATTGATTTCTGATGAAGGGTTGTCTGAAGATATTTGCCTTTTTCAGTAAGATGCATTCATCAGTGCTATTCAAAGCTTTAATAAAATTTTGTAGTAACAAATTGTTCATACACAAAAAAAAAAAAAAAAAAAAAAACACACACACAAGAAAATTCCCTGGAAAAGAGAGTCCCACTTTATTGTTTATTTCTTGTCACATTGATAAAGAACACAGGCAGATTCTGAGGCCTACTAATATAAAATAAATATTCAGTTTTATTGACAATATTATTATCATTTTGTTGTCTTTTTATTTCTCAAATTTCCTTAACTGGCCTATTATCTCTCTCATATATATATATATATATATATATATATATATATTAAAATAGAGGTGTTTTCACAGACAAGGTTTTCCCTATCTGCTAAAACTGTTATATTTAAAAAGTGCTCAATACACACACACAAAAAATATAAAGTGTAGAGCTAGTTAAGGTCTAAAATATTACAAACAATCACCTTTTCCATTACCACAGTTTCTACCAATGAAGGTTTCCTTCGGCAGTGAAAAGATCAATTGCTTTTCTATCACTATATTTATGAATAGAAAACAACTGACCTTTTCACTACCTGAGGAAGTCTTCATTGGAAGAAATATATATATATATATATATATATATATATATATATATATATATATATATATATACACACACACACACACATACACACAAATTCAATAAATATCCAGGTATAAATAATAAGGTGTCTTTGCAATAATTTGATAGTGATGGGAAAACCAGTTACAAACTACAAGTAAAATTTTCAACTAAAAGTTTCACATCAAGATGTAATCAAGTGACTGAATTAATACATATATACATGTATGTTTGTTAGTAGGATATGATGTAGGTTTCAATTCAATAAGAATGACGATATTCCCGTATAAACAGGTTCAGGGCCGGTTTTACCTCCCCAAAAGAGACTCTGCCCTTCGGCGTAGCCTCCTTCGGGTTCCTCCCGTCCGTAGGAAGAGAGTACAACTGAACAGTCGCTCAGAAAGTACTGGGTCGACTGACTCAATTCAATAAGAATGACTGGTGAAAAACATCCTCTCCCCAAATTTATAGACAAATTCTACAGATGAATGATGGGATTTCTTCCTAACCAATAAAAATGGACCAATTCTTTGTTTCACACACCATATTTTTGTTCTTTTCTTGTTTTAAGAATGCTACAATCGTCTGTATCTGTCTTGCATATGAAAAGCATTCTTACTTTGTGAACTTTTTGCCTTATTACTGTTGCTTTATCTAGTTTTGACTTGTATATGCATATTGTTTGCTTTGTATTATTTGGCCTTATTCTTGTTCATCCTTTTCTTATTGTTTATTGAGAACTTTGTGAATTCAATTTGTTGAGCATTTTACTGATTACTTAAGCATGGCCAATTACTTCATGTATAGAATCTGAACAAAATTTCGAGAAATCAGACAAAGTGGAAAACCTTTTTATTGACAACGTGTTTTGCCTTCACTCAGTATAGGTGTCTTCAGGTCAGAGTGAATGTCTCACTACTTTACTATCTAATGAAGGTGAAACATGTTTTCAACAAAAAGGTTTTCCACTTTGTCTAATATACATGTATGTTATATACACAATCATATACACAAATCTACGTCTTCTTTTTTCTTTTATGTGCATGGCCCTTCAGGACATGGGTGATAATGGCTCTTCACATCATCCTGTCCCTTGTAGATCTAAGCTATGTTTGATTCTTTACTATCCATCTTTGTCCCAGCTCTGCCATCCATTCAAACTCATTAGCTCAGCTACTCGCCATTTTCTTCTGCCCATCTTGCCTTTAATTATGTCCTGTGAATGTTAAATTCTCCAAGCTCTCTTTCCTCATTATGTGTTCCAGAAATTTCAATTGTTTCCTTATAACTGTAAGTCCTCTTTTAGTTCCCAACTGTATGCATATATATAAAAGTTAAAAAAAGAAAAAACATTATATAACTGTATTTAAAGAGTTAATGGCAATGTAAGTAGTGTGTGTGTCTGTGACAAACTAAGAGAAACTTACTAAATAAGAAAACACCCACATATTATATATATATATATATATATATATATATATATATATATATATGTGTGTGTGTGTGTGTGTAAAGTATGTATTTATATTGTGTATATTGAGAAAATTAATGGTAATACAAACCAGTTTCAGTTGCTGCCACTCTGTGTAAAGTTGGTAGCCAGACCAAAGTCTGGGGTTCTTTGTACAGCCAAGCATAGAACATGTCTTCTGAGATTCCATATTTGCAATCACTCTAACAAAAAAGAAAAAAAAAAGTGTTATAGCAAGTGAAAAACAAAAACAAGAGACTATATATAAAAGCTGTTATATGAGGTTAAAATAAAAAGTGTTCAATTTTGGATTGGCTCTAGAGTTTTAAGGCTCCCTTAGAAAATATTTATCCAAGCTTTTTATCATCAAAATTTGAAATTTCCTATTTGAGAGTTTGAATTTAGTTACGACTATTGACTATTTTCATTTTTTGGCTATTTTTCTCTTGTTATGAGACAAAAGATATGAAGCCCAAAACACATTTATATATTAGAATAAGAAAATACAATTTAAAAAGAATAAATTGTGAATGCAACATGACTAAGGAGGAAAAACAAAAATAAACAAAACTAATGCACAAAGAAAAAAAGATCTCTCCCTCTCACATAGTGGCAGGCATCAAACCCACCAAAAACTATGTCTAATACAGTTATTTTTAAGGCAAATTGATTCAAGCTGAAATACAAATTCCCTGCTTTGTTTGATTATAAAATACAGTATTGCAGAATAGAAGTAGCTGTCTTTATAGAGAGTTCGATAATTTAACTTTGAATTTCTTTAAGTAATCTTCAACATGATTTCTCTATTTCTGTAAGAATTTCTAGTGAAATAACAAAATGTGAATGATTGGATAAAAACAAAATCCATTAATTCATTTTAATAGAGTGTCATGAAATCAAATGATCCAGTTGAGGGTAAATTTACTGGGTATGGCATTGTGGGGGTGAGAAATCTGAGGGTAAATTTACTGGGTATAGCATTGTGGGGTTGAGAAATCTGAGGGTAAATTTACTGGGTATGGCATTGTGGGGTTGAGAAATCTGAGGGTAAATTGACTGGGTATGACATTGTGGGGTTGAGAAATCTGAGGGTAAATTGACTGGGTATGGCATTGTGGGGGTTGAGAAATCTGAGGGTAAATTTACTGGGTATGGCATTGTGGGGTTGAGAAATCTGAGGGTAAATTGACTGGGTATGGCATTGTGGGGTTGAGAAATCTGAGGTAAATTGACTGGGTATGGCATTGTGGGGTTGAGAAATCTGAGGGTAAATTGACTGGGTATGGCATTGTGGGGTTGAGAAATCTGAGGGTAAATTTACTGGGTATGGCATTGTGGGGTTGAGAAATCTGAGGGTAAATTGACTGGGTATGGCATTGTGGGGTTGAGAAATCTGAGGGTAAATTTACTGGGTATGGCATTGTAGGGTTGAGAAATCTGAGGGTAAATTGACTGGGTATGGCATTGTGGGGTTGAGAAATCTGAGGGTAAATTGGCTGGGTATGGCCTTGTTGGGTAGAAGAAGCTGAAGGTAAATGATATATTCACTGAAACAAAAACAAATTTTTACTTATGAATTAATATAAATTTGGTGTTGTATTTTTGGCATTATGTTCATACATACCATCTGAAGACAACTCTCTAGTGCAGGTGTCGAATTCAGTCCACCATATGCATTGCCTTCTTGTATAAGGTCTGGAATCTAAAAACCAAAAGAAAGATGTTAAAATTGAGATTTACATTTTTATCAATTTCATGTACATAGTATAATAACACAGTTGTTAAATGCAAGAAAAAAATGTCCTTGACAGAACTTTTATGTTCTGTATATATATATATATATATATATATATATATTCCCACTACAACCCAAAAATAAAATCTGCACTAATCATAGAAACATGTAGCCCAGAATACCTAAATGGAGAAGGGAAATATATTGCGAAGACTTTCAAACTTCTCCACTCTCTACATCATTTTATCTTCAATGCTAAAAAAAACAAGTATTCAAAATCCACAAAGCCAAAATACAGACACCACCAATAACACTTAACAAAATTCATAATCCAGCCCTCCAACACACTTTCTACTAAAATTACAAACAATTTAGTCATCCCTAATACTAAGATGGTTACCACAATCTCCAAGACCATCAGAAACATAATTAAGAAGAAAAATAAACCAATTCAAATGCGGTGATTTATTAAATAAATTGTTTACTATACAAAAATGTTTATGTGGCAGAGATATCACATGATCTAAAAGCCCGCATCTATGAACACAAGAGAGACTTGCATTTGGACAAACGATCTAACACTTGCTTTGTATTGAAACAATGCCGGGCATAATTTTGATTTTACTAATGCCACCCTAATTAAAAAAGAACATAATTCTTTATGTAGAAAATACATTGAAAACTTAATAATAACATTGTTACCAACTATAAACACATGCCTAAAGCATTACATTGCATCACCATCTTTCTTTGAATCCATTCTTAAAGAATTTAACTTATATTTTTTCTAATACAAAGAATACATGCTTAAAAAGATCAACCATAAATTAGAATGATGTGATGCCTCACTGTGCTGGATTGACTACACAAAGGGGAAGATATTAAAACTCCTACTAGACAGGCACACATACACAGTTATGAACACACATTACCATCCAATGCCCACTTAGACATACAAGAATCTTCACAAATTTACATACATAAAGGATTATCTATGTTTTTAATGCAAGTGATCGACCAGTGAGAACTGACCCAAACAAAATTGAAAATACCAGAGTTTCTGTCTTTTCATGTTTTCTCTCAATCTCTGATGAGGCTTAATAAAAGTGAAACATATTAGATTTATATACATTTCCTATTTGTTCTTTATTTTATCATCTTGTCAGATTCCAATCCATATTTCATCAACATTTTATCTTTAACTTATACATATATCATTCGCAGACATTACTGTTTTGCTGTATCACAGCTCTTCAGTGTAACTAGACAACCAAATGCCTTAAGCCAGGATTGAAACCCAATCGATTTGGTGTCAGTCAGAGTTTCTGCCACTGAGCTATCCTCATTCGACAGAATGAGGCAGCTAAATCTAGTGTATTGTTTTTACAAATGTAAACAAATGTCAAACAGCCAGAGTGCTCCATTAATTTTACTGAAGAGCTTCACATTAATGCAGATGGCTGTTTGTAGAATTAGCTTGTCATTCAACAGTGCTCAATTGAAATATATTTTTAAGAATTTTATTCAGTTGCGTTAGCTCGAATATTCATGAGTTTATCGTGCCAACCATCACAAGTTGGTAAATGCATGTGATTGCTGGGTGATCAACTTGTCTTGCCTCATGGCTAGGTGTCCAGAGTGGAAGTTTGCTTGTGAATTTTTGTTTTGTTTGCCAGCAGTCTCCCACAAAGTACATTCTGTATTCATGTAAGATTGTACATATATCAGGTATGTATGGACACCATAGAATTGTGATTTAGTTGGGTGTCTTCAAGAGATGTTAAATATAACTCTCAGCATCCAAATATAAGTTCGATTAAGCTTAGACTGTAGAGTTTTAGTTAATGTACAAGCAGTGGCAGTACACATTAACGCTGCCTCTATAATGGCTTGAAAGAATCTCTGCCTGAAGTTGTCTGCTTGATCAGATTTCCAAATTACATTCATTTTATTCAAGTCAGCTCAGGCTTTAGCTATGCAGATTTTCCCATCCTTTTCAGTAGAATTTATTTTGTTTCCTTGGTATGTAAAAAATTTGACAGATTTTATTGATTCACCTGAGACAGTTTCTATTGAACCTTGCTGGTTGAAGCCTATGAATTCAGTTTTCAAGGCATTGGCATACTGCCAACATCATCAGCAGCATTTTCTAGATGATGTAGGAGAACTGTGGCATTGGTAATGGTGTCAGCAGTGATAGCTAATTCATCTGCATAGTCAATATCTGTCAACTTTTTTTGCAGGATATCAACTTGAGAGTTTTGGTGATAAAGTAAAACTTAGATGATGATGTTCATCGAAGAAAGTTTCTAAATATGTAATCAAGGGAGATAACATAGAGAAAAAGGTGCAAGGATGTCTCCTTGAAGGGATCCCCTGCTTTGATATCGAAGAAGCTAGTGTCTCCATCTGGGAATCTAAGCAATATATGCTATACAAAAAATATCAAATCTCTGGTTATATATATATATATGTGTGTCTGTGTGTGTTAAAAAACTGAATGGCAAAGTGGAGAAATTCTGTGTAATGCATTTTATCTTCTACAAAAAATAAAAAAATGTTTTTATTGGTGGAATTATATATATGTAAGAAAAGGAGGAGATCTAAAAACATGATCATTGGTTATAATTATATACAGAGAAGAAATGCTGAAGATGTAGAAACAGTAAGTTTTGAAATTTTATTAGACGTGTCTGGACATGCAGTCTAGCTGATCTCATTAAGTTTCCCTATGCTTTTGTTTTTATTGTTTTTAAGTCTCCCACATTGTGAAAACAGAAGAAAAGAGAAATGTTGTAAGAACCTGAATGCAAATTTACTGTGGATGATTTAGCAATCAATGCACTTTCTAGACATTTTTCCTTTAGGAAATTGCTTTCTCTTTGAATTAAACTAGCATTTTCTAACTTGAAATTATGGTCAGACTAATTATGATGAGCAACTAATGCACCGAGTGTAAAAGATCCCTTTTGTTTTCATATAAACTTTTATTTAAATTTCTCCAGGTCTCTCCTATGTATTTATTGTGGCAGCTATTAAAAGCTGTAGGGTAAATTCCTGCTTCAGTTTTAAGGTTGTTATTTTGTTTTGTATTGATTAAGTCTCTTATTGTCTTAGAAGTAATTGTAACAAATTTTATGTTAAGCTTTTAAATTGTAGTTATTTTAGTGTTGGTAAGTAATATAATGTATTTAGTTTTGTTAAGTTTTTTATCATTTATTTTTTATATTTAAAAGATTTGATGAGTTTTCAGTTTCATGTTGAATATGAAATAATTAGTGTATTGGATGAATTTAAAGTATTTTTAATGTATTTCTCCTCTTTGTGTAAATACTGAGGACTACACATTTTGAGTGCTCTTAAATAGTATTTAATGATTATTCCAGATTTTATTTTGTGACTATAGTGAAATAGAAATTTATGAGATCATTTTTATTGGTAGATTTACAACAGACACTTATTTTTAGGTCATTATTAGTATGGTTTAACATGATATCGAGGAAAGGTAATGTGTTGTTTCTTTCTGTTTCAGTAAATTCTATCATATGTTTGACTTGTTTAGCTTATCTGTAAGATCAAAAACCAAGAAGAAATACTGCACACTCAATGTGAGATACTGACGATATAGGAATTAACACTGTTAGTTTCACACCTTGTATTTTTCTTTAGAAATGCATCTGTAAGGAAATTGTCCAGTATTCATTTCCATATATCAGAGAATCGATATTAAGATGTTTTATTTGATGAAGTTTTGTTTGATGTCAAAGAGAAAGAAGAAAAAGCAATTGGCGCCACTTACTCTCATCAGGGCCACCAGAAAACTGGACAAAACTGTGCAGTCAATGAAAGTGCTTGGATCACTAATTTCTTCATAAAAGTCTGCAGGAAAATAAACATTGAAAATATTCAGACACAGACAAGGTGAGCTTGATTCTATTAAAATAACAAACAAAAGTCATGACAGAGATGAGAATCTATGTTAAAATAAAGAGCAATAAAATGAATTGTGTTATAGGAAATGAAAAATTTGCAAATATGTTCAGTTCTAAATTAGTAAGAAATAACTTAATTATCAAATGCCAATGCATTTTCAATAAGAAGTCATTTCAAATACATTTTATTAGGGCAGGTCAAAAAGATTTTAATATTTTACTGATTTTTAATGTGAGTGCATATAACATATAATTGGGCACATGGCTGAGTGGTTAGAATATTTTCTTTTTGTCCATGAGACCCAGATTCAAATCTCACCATAGTTAATTTATCAGGAAAGTGACATCTTGATGTTATCAGCCTGGAGATGTGATACCAGAGTGTGTGGCACCTTTGGAAAATGACTGGAAACCATTGCTTGACCCAAAAAGCTTTGTGAGTGAAATTGGATATATGGAACTATTTGGGAGCTGTTGATGGATGAAGTCACAAGTCATGCTGATTGAAGGTTTGAGCAGGTGCCTGCAACAAAGATCAGCTAGCCACCCTAGTAGACAGGTATACTTGGAGATGAGGAACCACACCATTAATGATATAAATAGGCTTGCCAATAAGTCTGCAGTCTAATGATGAAGAAAGTATTAATTTTAGAAAAATTTTTCAACATACTCTCTTTCATCAATGCACTTAACCTGATGCATCTCTATTAAAGGCAATATATTGAATATTGTACAGGGAAAATTTAAAATCAAAATCTGTATCAGGTTGTCATATATACAATCTTTCTTTTAGCAATTTAAGTTCCACACTTAGCCTGTGTCTCTCCGAGTTCAAGCTCGAGAGACGACTGTTTTTCAAATTGCAACATTGATTTCCTTACTTGGAGACTACTTATGAAGATGAGGGCTGCAATCACATGGATACTGCCACATGTCCAGTAGAGAGCAAGTCCCATGCTAAACCCCCTCTGGTTTTGAATTCCATATTGAGATTATCCTAGAATGTAAATGGAACACAAATAGTCTCAACTTGAATTTGAACTTATTTCCATTTCCCATGTTGTTAAAAGGTAGACTGTCCCATGCTTTTGATTCCTTTGTTTTAGGAAATTATGTTAAATGGTTTGATATTTCTATCATTGAAGTTTTACATTCTTGAAGCAGAGAAATTTTTCATTATTAAGAGAAAATGTTGTTTTGCATCAAGAAAGTTTTATTTCTATAAAAGATGAATAAATAGAAATAAAAATTGTCTTACATTTGTATTTTTCTCCAAGTTGTCCACCACACATGGCTGCCAAGGCTGTTTTCACAGAGAGAGCATGAACGACACCCCTTCGTTGTCTGTAATCAGAAATAAAGGGTAATGTTGAAAATTAACGTGCATACAAACACATACATACATACATGTGTGCATGGAGGTGGGTGGATCAATAAGTCTGGCATATAATTTTTAGCTGAATTTTAAGCTGAAATTTCTACTGTAGAATGTTTGATTTGTACAAATTTTGTTGATGAGGAAGCAAAGAATACTGAAAAATAAATGTTTTTTTTTCATTAGGGTACAGAATTATTGATGTACCTGCATGTATACACATACGCACACACAAATATCTGCACACACAAATATATAAATACATGTGAATATACACACACAATATAAAAACATATTTAAAGGGAGATTTCACAGAATTAAAAAATATACTGACTTCATTAAAATATTTTTTAAAAAGTAGCATCTCTTCAAAACATAGCTGATCATAGCTCTTCACAGCTTCCATTTCTTTAAATTCTTGAAACCGGCATGACTTGGGAAATGTAGTGGAGCAGTTTCCTACCATCTTCTTCACAGTTTTGAATTCAGAGTTTTCTTTTTCTAAGTTGGTTGTCCATATGAAAACTGGTTGGGGAGAAAGGACAGCTTCATGTGTCTCCTAAGAATATTAGCGAGAAGAGAATGCAACAGGCTTGGACAGAATTTGAACTCTAATCATTCAATTCTATTTTCTGTACCATTAATTGTACCTGCTGGTACTCATTCAAATTGAAATTTAGCTTTTCTCTACAGAAGAAAGTATGTGGAAGCAAAACTTTACCTCAAATCATTATGACAAATCCTCTGTCAGGCAGGACTCATCTTGTTATGTGTGAGATTAATCTTGGTCCTGTCTCAGCAAAATCATGGCTATATATATATATGTTATTGGATGTAAAAATGTTATTTGTTTATTTCTTGAGAAACTGAATTTATTTAGACAAAATATTATAAATGAAAAAGATGATTTTAGAATTAGTGATTTGCAAAAATATAGCAGTCACTCTGGTGCACTCATTGACATGAAAAAATGTTTTCAATTTAAAAGCAGATGTCTGTGTAGAAACCCTATTTAATGTAAATATCTTTGAAGAGGAAATTGAAATAACATCACAGTTCAAAATGAAAACATAAATCCTGTTTTCAATACAATTGGCTATTCATTTGCAAATTCACCTAGCATGGTCTGTGGGTAGGTACACAACACTTGAGATAACTTTGCTACCTTTTTTGTCATGACAGATTAATGAACCAGATCTTCCCTTCAGTCAGTGAGGACTCTCTTACCACCCTGCTGCCCGTTAACAAATTGTAACTTGCCAGTGGTTGATACAAATCTACTTTCTACCCATTCTAACTAACTTTGTCTATGACTGGAAATTCCTAACTTCTGGCCAAGTGGCACTTGATCCCCAAATTTTTCATTTATTTATGTTTCACTTCCCTTCAGAGCTACTTGTGGACAGTGGATGATGGCTTTGAAGATCTTATTTCTAGAGTTTACTGTCTACACAGTCATAAAATCTAGACCAGATATAATAATTTAGGGTGGACCTGACTGTGTGTGTTCTAATTACAGCTGAGTTCCATTGTGTCATATGTCCACATATACCTCAGATCTTAGACAATAAGAGAAAAAAAAGAACAAGACACACTATTTTCATTTGGAAGCAATCAATCAACAATAAAAGTATCAGGTGGGTTAACCTGGTATCATTTTGGTAATAAAATTCTCCTAACTTCCTATTGCTTCAATTTTGACCATAAAAGAATTCATGTATTTTAAAGTACTTTGACATCTTCAATGTCCAACACAATGAGATGGATTTACTGCAGCCACTGAAAAGGAAAAGATGAAAGGAATTAGATTATCATACCTGTCATATAAGTTGAGCACAAAATTCTGAATCAGGTCAACTGAACGTATACGTGTTGTGTCATCTAGTCTGGCATGTTTACAGCCTGTGAAGAGGTCTTGTAAAATTTCATTCAGGTCATGACAGTTGAGTAATGGGTCTTCTCCCTGGGGGCAACCATGTTGTTGAAATACACACCTTACTTTGTCAATTGTGATCAGGTCCACTAGGAAAAAAGAGTAGAAAGAAAAAAAAAAGAGTGATTTTCCAATATGTCACATTATTTTAACAACTTTTAGTTTGAATATCTTCTGCTGTAAATCTTGATATAAAAGGACAAAGATTATTTCCAATGCATCTTTACAATGGAAGAATAGAATAGAAAGTAATCCATACACTTTAATAAAACAAGAAGAAACAAAAACAGTTGCCACTTCAAGAGTTATTCATACTTTTTATTGCTACCTTAACAAGTATCAATTTATTTATCAGCTTTTGTTTGTACAATCAATATGGCAGCAGGGTCTTGGGTATATGATCTGCAGGAATGAGAGGGTAGGAGTATTGGTGCATGAGATCCAGGAATGCACAATCTACAGAGATGAGATGTGTCATGGTGAATGATCTGCATGGATGAGGGATGTCTTTGTGTATGAAATGCAGCAACAAAGGATGTCTTGGTGTAAGAGATGCAAGGATGAGGTGGGTGGGGGGGTCTTCATGTATGTTCTGCTGGAAGAATGGGGGAAGTCACAGTGTATGACCTGCAGGAGTGAAGAGGGTTTTGGTGCATGATCTGCATGGACAAGGGGGTAGTCTTGGTTCAAATGCCACTTGAAATTGGTCATAATAGCAATCAACTAAAATTGGCAGTTGTGAGGTGCCATAATTGCTATCAAGTGAAATTGGCAAATGTCATGGCATAATAGTAATCAACTGAAATTATCAAGTATGAAGTGGCATAATTGCTATCAATTGAAATTGGCAAGTGTGAGTTGGCATAATAGTAATCAACTGAAATTGGCAAATGTGAGGTGACAAAATTGCTATCGGCTGAAATTGGCAAGTGTGAGTTGGCATAAAAACAATCAACTGAAATTGGCAAATGTGAGGTGACAAAATTGCTATCGGCTGAAATTGGCAAGTGTGAGTTGGCATAAAAACAATCAACTGAAATTGGCAAGTGTGAGTTGGCATAATAGCAATCAATAGAAACTGGTAAGTGTGAGGTGGCATAGTTGCTATCAACTGAAATTGGCAGTTGTCAAGTTGTATTATGGGAATCAACTGAAATTGGCAAGTGTGAGTTGGCATAATAGCAATCAACTGAAATTGACAAATGTGAGTTCGCATAATTGCAATAAATATAGGAAAGCATATTCAGTGATATGAGTGATTTCTATTTGGGCCTCTTTATATCAGATGAAAAATGATTGGCTTCTGTTCTCTGTTTTCCCATTGCCCCCCAAGGCCATGATCTTGTCACTGGTATTTCACAGATTCTCCTGTTATTGGTATTATGTTCTCTCTGCTACATGATATTTTGAGAATAGATGGACCCCATCATAGAATTCCCTTTACTCCAACATCACAAAGATTAAAATGTCCAACTTGTCAGCCTTTATCTGGCATGACAATCCTAGTTTCTTTTCAATCATAGAGCAAGCCAAATGAAATGAAATTAAAGAAATTATACATAAATAATCACAGGGCCACTTAGATTAAAATAAAAATCAGAAAAGGTAATTTTGAGCATGCACAAGATGCTCTTTTATTTTGGTTTAGGAAGTGCAGGTGGCATAATGATTAAAGGCATGAAAATGGAATCAGCAAGTAGAGTTCAAATTCTGGATGGGACAGTTTATATTCACTTTGCACTAATGCCATTGCAAAAGGCATGAATCTACATCTCCCTTTTATCTGTGGGTAATTGTAATGATAGTTGGAGCCATCTAACTTTATAAGGCAATTGAACTTGTGTTTTGGGTTATCTTCATAAAAATTCTTCACTTGATACTGAAACTGCCACAACATCACTTGGTGTACTGCAGCCTCATGCTTCACAAATGTGTTGACAGGAATAAAAAGAAAGAGAAAAAGAAATTAATTCAAATACAAATCATCCAGTCTCAAGCAAGTGATTTATATGCAATAGTGTCAAGGGTCAAGGGAATTCAAAATTATATAATTTAAGATTGCAATTCTAGATTTAATACAAAATTTAAATTCGGAAAATGAAAAATCAAAGAACATAGTAATTAAAAATATTTTTTTAATATATTTTTAATATATTTTTAATATATAGCAGGTAAGAGAGATTTTATGAAGATCTCAAAAAAAGTGAAGATAAAAAGAAGTTAGTGATGGGTAAAATAAGAAATTGGGATTGGTATGTGCAACAGAGGAAGTGTTAATGATGATCCCTTATAAATGATGATCACATCTAGAGTAACTTACAGAAGAAGAGAGGAAACTAATATCTTTCATTTCAGAATGTTTTATTCATTTTCTTTTTTTTTTTTGTTCATGTCTGATGAATTTAATAAGGAAATAGTTATTGTAATTAAAGAAATGAAATTGGCTCTGATTATGAATTATAAATATGAAAGACCTTCAAGTCGTTAATTGTGGTCAATAATAAGAGGATATAATTAGAAAGAATGATGATTATTACAGTTTCTCTTTTTATGGATTACATGAAGCGTTTCCTAGTGTTACAATACACATATGTATTTTACACACACACACACACACACACACACACACACACACTTTAGATGATTTGTCTGTGTGTGTGTGAAAGTTATATTTAGACAGTGTGAATTCATCTGTTAGATTCAACAGAAAATATTTGTATGATGAATTTTTTAGTGTATTTTTACAATTTTCAAATAAGTTATAGATCTAAAATTCAAATTGTGGTTGCCAACAAAATCTGACAATGACCGAAATAGTTGAAAGTACTACAATGAAACATGAACTTTGGACAGTTTATCCACAATTATGATTCACATGAATATATTATTTGAAAATATAATAAAAAAATTAAAGACAGACAGACCATGTAGGTTGATTTTAACACAACTTGTTTAAATGAATTCTTATTGCTTAAGTATACCTTATACGTGTAGATGTGTGTGTGTATTTAGGCAGCAGTTTTACACCGATTTATGTTCATATGACTGACTGAAAACTCTATCACTAACATTCAACATTTATATTCACTGAATCCAGATATACACTTTTTCTTATTTAAACAAGTAAACTTAAAAAAAAAAATATTAAAAAATCTATGACTGTCATTTTTAAAGAAAAATCTTTATTTAATGTTTATTTTTATCAGCGGTTATTTAGTTCACTACCAATACAAGGCCAGGCTTTCCCAAGAAGTCTGTCAGAGAAGAGTTATGGGCCTTATCCTGCAATGCTGGTCAATGATGTGTGTGTGTGTGTGTGTGTGTGTGTGTGTGTGGGGGGTATATAAATACAAGTTTCTAATTAACATTTCAACATTTTCCTCAATTTTACACACACACACACACACACACACATATATATATATGTATAATTCAGATATAAACACCTGTATATATATATATCATACTTATTATAAAACCCAGGTTGTGTGTGTGTGTCTGTACGTTTATATATTGGATCGGATTTCCTACATTTTTCAACCGATTTCAACAAAACTTCACAGGACTACGTAAAATTACCTTGCGGTGGTTCTGACAGCGCCAAAAATCGGAAAAACACAATTGTTTTTGCATGAAATCAATTTGAAAACATGATTAAGAGTCATCGCTGTCGCGAGAATGAAAAGGGGACAACTCATATCGAGTTATATTTATTATAAAACCCAGGTTGTTTGTGTGTGTGTGAGTGTGTGTGTGTTCATTTATATATGTGATCGGTTTCTACATTTTTCAACCGATTTCAACAAAACTTCACTTTTTTTTTTTAGGTAGTGTTTCTTATTGTCTTGCACACTTTTTTCTTTATTTTTACATTCAGAATGCTTTAAAAATTCCATTTACAAGACAATTGTTTATAATAAAATTCTATTCAATCGGTAGACTCATAATGATTGAAAACAATGCTTTTGTTTGAGTTTGGGTTTGACCAATTCGTAAAAAAAAACAACAACAACAAAAAAAAATAATTAAGACATGCGTGTCTGTCAACCTTAAACAATAATCTTTGTCAATTTTATTTTTCAGTCTTTATGATGGTCGATACTTAATCTATCTCTTACTGTTACATCCCGACAACAACGCTGGGCTCTACTGCTAGTATATATATATATATATATATATATATATATATATATATATATATATATATATATATATATATATATATATATATATATATATATATATTAGTGCAATCTCCTGACAGTTATGATATATGAAGGTCCATCATTTCAGTTCAGTTTGGAATTGAATTGTTACACTAGCCATACAGATGATTTGACTATAGTGATGAAGGCTTGTGCAGAATTAGCCACAATTTTCAAAAGTGATAACAGAGATGGTGCACAGTGTAGTGTAAAGTCTTCAAACAATCCACCTCAAATTTAGTTTTCCTTCTAGACAGATTATTACCCAATGCAAGAGAGCTCAGACTGACCATTCCTATTTAACACATTACTGGAGGAAGATGGTTTCTGCCTTTTCCTTATCTATCTATCTATCTATCTATATATATATATATATATATATATATATATATACAGGGTTATTCAAAAAGAATGAACCAGTTTCATGATGCATTTTCTCAATTCTCATCACGGAATGAGTCAGTGACCATTTGAAAGAGAAGTTTTCTAAGTTTTGAATGGCTGTAGTTGTGTCGTATACCTTGGAATGGTGAGTCCTCAGCAAAAGGCATTCTGCATTCTCAAGTTTGCATAAGCACAGTTGTCACGGTGGAGTGTGTGGGCAATTTGACATTAATCCACCCTCTCCTAAGAACATTTGATGGTGCGTTAAACAGTTTCAAGAGATTGGGTGTCTGTGTAAAGGAAAAAAATTCAGGATGACCACAAGTTTCAGAGGAACAAGTGGCGAGAATCTGTGCTGTGTTTGAGAGGAATTCACGGAAGTCCATAAATTGAGCTAGCTGTTAGCTTGTGATCTCTCAATCCAGAAATGTCTACATTTGAAACCTTTCAGACTACTCCTCATTCAGGCACTTACCAAGATCTTGCTTTTCGTGCTTGGC